GCTGCGCCACCGGGCCGGCCCAAGATACAACAATTGTAAACATAGTTGTACCTAATAACAGAGCACTGAAACACATTCAGCAGAAACTGATAGAATTGAAGAAAAAATAGAAAATTCAACAATAATAGTTGGAGATTTCAATACCCCTGTTTACAATAAAGGATAGAAGAACTAGGCATAACACCAACAAGGAGATGAAAGACATGAACAACACTATAAACCAACTAGACCTAACAGACGTCTATAGAACACTCCACCCAACAACTGCAGAACACATTCTTCTCAAGCGTATATGGAACATTCTCCAGGATAGCTCAAATGCTAGGCTATGAAACAAACCAAAATAAATTTGGAAGCATTGAAATAATACAAAGTATGTTCTCTGACCACAATAGAATAAAATTAGAAATCATTAAAAAAAGATAATTGGGAAACTTGCAAATATGTGGATATTAAACAACATACTTCTAAATAACCAGTGGGTCAAAGAAGAAATCACAAGAGAAATCAGAAAATATCCTGTGGTAAATGAAAATGAAGACACAACATACCAAAACTTATGGGATGTAGCTCAGAGGGAAATTTATAGCTGTAAAGCTCTCCATTAAAAGAGGAAGAAAGATGTAAAATCAGTAACCTAAACTTCCACCTCAAGAAACTAGAAAAAGAAGAGCAAACTAAACCTAAAGTAAGCTGAAGGAAGGAAATAATAAAGATTAGGGTGAAGAATTGAAGGCAAGGACTCAAAAGAAATATCTGTACACTCATGTTCATAGCAGCATTATTCACAGTAACCAAAAGGTGGAAGCAATCCAGCTGTCCATTGATGAATAAATGGATAAACAAAATGAAGTACATGCACACACACACACACTGCCTCAAAAAAGGACGGAAATTTTGACACACGCTACCACATGAATGAATCTTGAGGCCATTATGCTAAGTGAAATAAGCCAGTCACAAAAGAACAAATACTATGATTCCACTTATATGAGGTACCTAGAGTAGTGAAATTCACAGAGACAGAAAGTAGAATGGTGGTTACCAGGAGCTGAAGGGAGGGAAGGAGAGAGAGTTATTGCTTAAAGGGTACAGAGTTTCAGTTTTGTAAGATAAAAAGAGCTCTGTGGATGGATAGTGGTGACGGTTGCACAACAATGTGAATGGACTTAATGCCACTGAACTGTACACTTAAAAATGGCCAAGATGGTAAATTTTATGTTATAATTATTTTACTGCAATTTTAAAAAAGATTGGAGTGAAAAGTAGTAAAATAGAGAATAGAAAAACAACAGAGGAAATCAACTAAACCAAAAGTTGGTTCTTTGAAAAGTTCAACAAACTGATGAATCTTCAGCTAGATTGACCAAGAAAAAAAGAGAGAAGACTCAAATTCAAGAATCAGAAATGAAAGAGGGGGACATTATTACCAACCTTATAGAAATAAAAATGGTTATGAGAGAATATTATGAGTCACTGTACGCCAATAAATTAGATAACTTAGATGAAATGGACAAATTACTAGAAAGACACAAACTACAGAAACTGACACAAGAAGAATTAGAAAATCTGAATAGACATATAACAAGTAAAAAGATTGAATTAGTATTAAAAAAATCTACCCACAAGAGAAAGTCCAAGCTCAGATGGCTTCACGGGTGAATTCTACCACACATTTAAAGAAGAATTAATATTGATTCTTCACAAACTCTTCCAGACAATAGAACAGGATGGAACACTTCCCACATCATGGAACGATAAATGCTACAACATGGAGGAATCTTGAAAACAATATGCTAAGTGAAAGAATCTAGTGACAGGAGACCACACACTATATGAAATGCCCAGAATAGGTAAACCTATCGAGACAGAAAGCAGATTAGTGATTGCTAGGGGATGGGGGATCGGGGGGTGTGGTGGAGTGGTGATAGCCATAGCATATACGAGGTTTCTTTCTGGAGCGATGAAAATGTTCTACAACGGATTGTGGTGATGGTTGCAGAGCTCTGTGAATATACTAAAAATCATTGACTTGTACACTTGAAATGGGTAAATTATATGGTATGTGAATTCCATCTCATTAAAGCTGTTACCAAAACAAGCATTTCACTTTTACATATTATATATGCTGAGCTCTTACATAATATTTCATTTGAAACCAAGGCTTCCATGGTTTACGAAAGCCTTGTCCACCCGTTCCCTCACTCAGGAAGACCTGTACTGAGCACCTGCTGTGTACAGCATCTTGTGCTGGCATGAAGGTCAGACAGCGAGGGGTACAGAGATGAATCTGGCCCAGCACCTGCCCCTAGAGCTTGTGGTCAGATGAGGGGTGGGGAGTATCCAATTAAATTCCAGCCACCAAAATATCTAGGACCTTGCCAGGTTGGTGCACTCTCCATTGTGACACAAGGGAGAAAAAAATAATGCTACAACATTTACTGAGTGCTTACTGTGTGTCAGGCACTGTGCCAAGCACCTTCCACCATTCCTTCATTACAACAATCCTATATGTTAGTGCTCTCATCAGCCTCCTTTTACAGATGATGAAACCGACGTTTTGAGCCTCTGCTCTCCCATCTCTCTTGAAGCGTGGAGGGAGATCTTTGGACCTGCAGGAGTCCCGGATAGAATCAGGTTTGAGATGGGGCCGGAGGAGGGCCTCTACCAGCTCAGGGCAGAAAGTGAGGCTCCACCGGCCATGGGGGTCTCAGCTTGGAATGGCATGGATGCTCAAGGAGGCAAAGAGCACTGAGGTCTCAAGACTGGCATTCTCACACATGTTCTGCCCTCTCCTCAGCACTTCACCTCTCTGAGACTCTGTTTCTTCAACTGTAAAATGGAGCTATGGCTCCTACTTCTGCCATAGAGTTAAGAGCCCTGCACAAGATAAGCGAACATGCTGTGTAAACCATCTAAAGGAAGAACCAGGGTTGGCACTGTGCTGGAAAGCGTAAGGCACCAAGATCAGGGACCCTCTGTCCCCACATTTAGGAGAGCTCTGGCCCTGTCTGCAGAGAGGGCAGTGCGTGCACACACACTCACACACACACACACACACCTTCGCCATCCCTCACCTCTGGCTCACCATCCGTGGCCTTTGGATACTGCTCACCTTGTGGGAGGCACTGCCACCCTTCTCCCACCAACGTGTCAGCCCCATTCCAGCCCTCCGTCTCCTGGAAGATTTCCCAGGCTGCCAGCCCAGTGTGAACACAGTTCCTCAGAGCCCCAAAAACCCATGTTGGTGTGTGAATGCTACCTGCTTGCCAGGGTTAATATCCCAGCTCCCCCACCAACCAGCTAGATGATCCTGTGAGAGTTCTTGACTCTCTCGAAGCATCACATAACATGAGGCTAATAAGAGCACTTAACACAAGGAGTAGTTGTGAGCACTGAATGAAATAATGCTTGCAGATCCCTCAGCACAGTGCTTGTCTCCTCCTTAAATGAGGCTAAGTCCTGCCTTGCCCACTACACAGGCTGTAGGCAGGAGATGACGGAGCGAAAAGTTTTTGAGGTGGTGTTGTTAATGACTGAGAGGTAACAACCCCTGTGCTGGGGGCTCAGCTGGGGAGGCACAAGGGACTGCTGACTGGGTGGGCCATGGGCACATCCTTGAGGACCAACCAGATCCTTAGCTGCCTGTTTGCCCCTCGTCCTGTCCAGAGAACCCCTGGTGGGTAGGGGTCTCACCCTCTGCGGAGATCTCCTCGTGCCAAGGGCCTCTTGCTTACTGCACGTATTGAGGGGTAGACGGGGCCCACTGCGGTATGGATCTGGAGGACAGCCACCAGCGGGTCAGCTCCCACTATTCAAGGTCCGGGGTGGGCGTCTCTTGTCCAGGAGCTGGGGGAGGCCAAGACCCCTGGCGTACACGAATCCCCGGGGATCTTACTAAAATGCAGTTCTGGGGCGGGCCTGAGATTCTGCATTTCCAATAAACCCCCAGGTGACACAGGCGGCTGTGCCTGGCTGTACTTTAAGTAGCAAGGACCAAAGGAGGCATGGCTATTTCTGAGAACAGCAGTGAGTGACAAGCACATCTCGGCCTCCCGCTGGTCCTGAGGGGATCCAGCCCCACCCAACCACGCCCTCGGCTTCCAACATCTGGAGGGTAATACTACATGGATTTTCTGAGTTTCCAGGATTCCGTTTCCATCACACATATAAAATACAAGTAGTACCACATTATAAAAATGTTGGAAAATATGAAAAAATAATAGGAAAAAAAATTACTGATAATCTCATACCATATTTAAAACAACACTTAACCTCTCTCCTCAGGGTTCCAAAGCCATGTCTGTCAGAGATCCAAGGGTCATCTCATGAGTGGGAGCTGCCCCAGGAGCCCCACCCTGCCCTGGCGAAGCACTGGGTGAGAGACGGGGGCCGCGCCCGACACCCCCCATCTCCTGGCCCCCTTCTCACCCGAGGGAGAGATGCCCAGCCCCTTGATGCCTGAGGCCTTCACCCAGACCTAGGCTTGGGTCACAAAGTCGGGCAGGACCCCCCTCCTCCCTCACAGGCAGCAGGCCGTGGAGGAAGCGCTGCTGCAGAGGAGGCAGAGGTGGGGTCTGGGGCAGGGGAGCACATCTGGATTCCTGGCCCAGAGCCCGCATTCCTTCTCTGTGAGTGTGAGGAGATGGGGTCTCTGGAGAGCTGTGAGGAGGCTGCTGGCCCCCAGCCTCCCCCACCATAACAACACCCACCCTGGCAGGAAGACTGGTGGGGACTTGAAGGCCCACAACCTCGTTTTGGGGTCCCCCACCCAGATTGCTGACTAGCCAGTACAGGCCCAAGCTGGGCCTCTGTCCCATCCACACCAGCCAGCCTTGCCTCAGAAACACCAGAGAGGACAAAAGGTGGAGGCCAGAGGGCCACAGGGCCACTTGCTCGTAGAAGGGACCCTGGGGGGCCGCTCCACCTGCCCTACCCATAGTAGCCAGTCCACAGGTCAGTACGGGGCCACAAACCCTGCCCGGGCGGGGCTGCCTTACCTGGGGGCAGTCCTTGATGTAGTGTCCTTTGTTGAAGCACAGGTGGCACAGGTAGTTGGGCGGGGGGCGCTTGCTGGGCTTGCGGCTCTCAGAGCTGAGGGTCAGGTCTGAGAAGTGCTCGGTGAGGGAGCTGAGGCCGTCGGCGATGTTGTTGAGGGAGCCGTAGGGTGAGGCGCTCTTGTACACGCTGCTGCTCAGCGCCTGTGGGGACAGAGGCTGTGAGCGCTCTGGGAGGCCTGCGCACACACGTTAGCAGCCTCGGCCTTGGGGGAATTTCCGCAGGCCCGTACACACACACACACACACACACACACACACACACACACACACAAACACGAATTCACATAGACTCTTCAGCTGCCCATGTGCCCCGGCCTCCTGGAGCCTGAGCTCAAATCCTAACTCTAGTTGTGTGTCCATGGGCAAGCCAGTTAACCACTCTGGGCCTCACTGGCCCTGTCCGGAAAACGGGAATAATGATAACTACCTCCTTGGGTTTCTACAAGGCTAACATGAGGTCACAAATATAAAGCACTTTAAGTCCTGCCTGACACTTAGGAACCACTCAGTAAATGGTGATGATGATGATCATCATTAGTTCCTCTTTACACACTGCCAGGAGACAAGAAGGTAAAGCAGAAAGCAACCTGTTAGATTTGGGGCTCTGCCACATACTCCTGGAGTGACTTAAAGCAAGCCACTTATCTTTGAGCTAAACTCAATTTCTCCATTCTGTAAAGAAGAGGAACATCAGCTTGCAGCATTGTTTCCACTGTACAGATGAAAAGACTGAAGTTCAGCACTTTGCCTGGTCTCCTGCAGCACGAGGCCTGGGCAGACTGCGTCCGGGGAGCCCTCAGCCCGGCCTAGGCCAGCTCTCAGGGAGCCTGGGGAGGAAGTGGCCCACCTCTCTCACCTCTCCCACCTCTCTCACCTCTCCTACCTCCAGTTGACAGGAACCAGATGTCTTGCCTGGCTTCAAAGCAGATGCAGCCCAGGCCCCCTCCTGGTGTATACAGCCTCTATTTATAGGAGTCACGGGCTCCGGGCAGCCAGGCACACTGGAATTTAGCGAAGGTGGGGCCTGCTGTGAGGCTGGCAGGGAGCAGCCATGGGCCCCCTTTCCTGGGGCAAGGCCAAGGCTAGAAAGAGGCAGCTTCCCCAGAAAGGTAAATCGCAAACCTGGGCATGGTGCTTGGGTATCCCCTGGCCCCAGCTCACGTGCCCAAGGACTCCAGGAGTGAACTACCGACCTTGGGGAGACTTGGGTCTAATGGAGAGACATGGTCTTGTTCTTGCAAATCCCCAGGCTAATAGGGGAAGACAACCCCTGAGAGGAAGTTGCCTCCGTTCCCTTACAAAGATGGGGCAGACAGGGGTCCAGGATGGGGACGGTCCTTTCTATGTCCCCTCAGTGTGAGAAGGGGGTGTCAGCTGAGAGCTGGCCCTAGGCGATCAGGCAAGCCACCCAGCAACCAGGACAGATCCCACCTCTCACACATGTATACCTCAGCCTCCCTACTTGTTCCATTTCTGGGGGTCTGGCATCCCCTCCTAGAGGACACAGCCCTCACCATCTGGGTGCCACCTCTCTTCGTGGCTTCCTGGACACCCTGCTACGTGACCCTGGGCTAGCCCTTTCCCTCCCTGGGCCTCTGTTTCTTCTCGTGTAGGTTTGGACTGGAGGCTGGGATCTGGAAGGAAAGACACAGACACCAACATCCAGGGCAGCCCAGGTTCCACACACAGTCGGCCTACAGTGACTGGACACAGAACTCAAAGGCTCCTAGTGACCAGCTCTGCTCTAGCACTGCCTATGCTACCCTGAAAGGGACCAGTGAAAGATACCACACAAACCCGCATTCCACCTCAGGGTGACTCTAGCTCTCAGATGGCCCAGGCAGAGTGGGCCCTCCTGGGAGGCAGAGGGTCCCCATGCCTGGAGGTGTGTGAACCAATACTGGACAGTCTTAAGGAGCGTGGGGAGGGTTGCGATGGAAACGGGATTAGATGATAATAGTTAACGTACACTGAGCACTTACTACACCCCAGGCCCTGGAAACTTGACTCGCACTAAGATAGCTGACACTTGCCACAACCCTGTGAGTCACTGTTCCCATTTTACAGATTAGACGAGTATGCCCAAACTTGTATTGAATGACCTGGGAAACGTTTAACCAATATAGTTTTCTGGGCCCCACCTCAGACCTATCAAAGCAGCTCCCTGGGACTGAGGGCCTGGAATTTGCATTTTTTTATTGTGGCAAAATACACATTACATAAAATCTATCATTTTAATGATTTTTAAGTGTACAGTTCAGTGGCATTAAAAACATTCACATTGTTGTGCAACCGTCACCACCATCCTCCTCCAGAACCTTTTCATCATTCCAAATTGAAACTCTGTTCCCATTAAACACTAACTCCCCACACCGCCCTCCCCCCAGCCTGAATCTGCATATTTTTAAAGCTCCCCCAGGTAGTTCAGGTACAACCAGCCCAGCCCCACTCAGCCTTGGAAGCACCTGGACTTCCCAAGCATCAGGGTCTCTCTCTAGCTTGACTCGAGGCCTCTTCCCACCCAGCTGGCCTGAGGGAGGGCAGCATCGCCCCAGCTTCCCAGAGGAAAGTTCATCCAAACAAGAAACTTGAAGCTCCAAGTGGTGTGACTCACCCTCATGGCTGGGAAACGCAATTTCACAAATAACAACCCCCTTATTTTTTTCCCCTCTTCTGTCTTTTCTTTTCTTTTCTTTTCTTTTTCTGCATAAGATTTAAGCAAGTCCACAGGAATCAGGACTGTTTTGGCTGCAAATTGTTAAGAGGAAGGGGAAGTCTGGTGGGTGCCAGAAAGTGCACTAATTACAACCTTTCCCCCATCTTGTGGCCACACTCCCCTGCCCACGGGCGGCCCCGCGGGTCTCCCTGGGCAGCCAGAGGCCTCTGAGCAGGCTGTTCTATTCCTGGCAGCTCAACACCCTGACCCACCACCTCACAGGGGTCACAGCTTTGTTCCTGTCGCACAGGTAGCTCCAGGTCAGACAGGCGAGGCCAGAGGTCCCCTCTCACCACCTCTCCCACATCCAGTGGACTGTGGCCTGTCCCTCATGGCTGCTCCAGCCCCAATCCAAGATGACATCACCTTACAGCTGAAAGGACAGAGTGGGTCAGCTGACCCAACCTTATTGTCATATTACAGATGGAGAAACTGAGGCCCAGAGAGGCCCAAGGGCACAGACCAGGGCACACAGCCAGGCCTAAGGACCAGGAGTCCTGCTTGCCAGCTGGTGAAAGGGTGGGTGCGGCAGCAAGCTGTTTCCTCTCTGAAGCTCCAAGGAGCTCGAGCCATGGAGGTGAAAGGCGTCAGCCTCTCAGCTGTCTCCACGGCCTGGCCTGTGGGGACTGGAAAGAGTGGAGGCCAGGACACACAGAGCTCCCTCCCCTTCAGCTGCGGAGCTGGGGCCTGGCCTCTTGGGTTTCCCACGTGTAAGCTGAAAAATGGAGCCAGGAAGGAGGGGGCAAACTTGATGATTCCTGCAGTCCTACTTTCTCAAGGTCCAGACACCCAGGTACTGAAAGACACCCCCAGAGCCCGGCATGCAGAGGGCACTAATCAACATGGTGCCATCTGTCCCAAGTCCTGCCTGCCATCTGTAGCTGGAGGGCAAGGCCAGGTGGGAGCTTCCTTTCATCAGCCAGCCCCTAACTCTGCAACACCAATCTGCTCCTCTCGGCATCCCACGGAGGAGCTGCTTTTCTCCCTCCAGCTCTGCCCTCGCTGTCCACCCCGGATGCCCTCTGTGTCCATCCAAACTTCCTCCAGGACCCGGCTCCTGGTCTGGTTCTAACTCTAGTGGTGTGGCCCTGAACCCGCCCCGTCCTCTTACTCGGGCCTCGGGCTACATGGGACAGTGTGAAAAGCACAGATTCAGGTGCTCCTGAGGCCCCATTGGCATCGAGGCTCCGCAGAGCCGCCATGGGAGCTCCTGGACCTCCTGGCCGTAGCACTGTCCCCAGAGCTGCACGCTGGGGACCACTCCATGACTCCCCTGCCCTTGCCTGAAGGAGCTCTGAAGTCTCTCTCTAATCTCTTTGCATAGTGCTGCCTTCTTATTTCTCCACAAGGCTGGACAACCCCGAAGGCAAAGATTCTGCAACCTTCTGTGGCCACAGAGCCCAGACTGTTTCTGCTGCTCCTTACACCCGTGACTGTCCTGGGTGCAGATGATCACAGGCAGGGAAGGGCCTGGGAGCCCCACTTGACAGGTGAGGTAACGGATGCCCTAACACCTTAAAGGATTTAGTTCCTAAGTCAGAGGGGGCTCTCGCTCCAGATTAAGCTGCTCTGGGCACTGGTTGAGGGCAGCCCCACTAGTGTGGTAGGTGGAAGCTTCTGGGCCATCTAGGCCCAAATCACCAGCCTCGGGAAAGAGACCACCTCCCTCTCCTCCCTGGGCCAGTGACCCCAGCAGCCAGCAGGCAGTGTGGGATCCTCACGCCACACCTGGAGGCAGAATGTCAGACTCATGCCCATCGCTGGGACTTCTCCAAAATTCTGGCTTGGCTACTGGGGAAAGTTAGACGAGAAGACACTGAAGTTTATTCTGATCCTACTTGTGTCGTATACTTGCCTGGATCTTTCCCCTTTCGTAGTTCTCTTAAACCCGGCAAGAACACTATTTGGATGGGCTTTATTAGCCCTATTTTATAGAACTGGAAACTGAGGCTCAGAGAGGCTGAGTAACTTGCCCAAGGTAACATAGTCAACGTGTGGCTAAGAGGAGAAAGACACCCAGATCTGCTGGCCTGTTATACTTCAGCCCCCACACAGCCTCCAAAGCTTGGCTTCCCCTACAGGAAGGGGAGCCAGAGGAAAACGCCAGGTGTGGACCACTCTCCTTGGCTCAGAGGCCCTGTGACATCATATTGCCAAGCCCCTTGGCCCTGGCAAGATGAGGCACCAGCTTCTCTGGGCTGCATGAGGGGTTTGGGCCCTGGGGTTGGTAGTTCTACTGAGGGATTTGGAGTATGGAGGCAGAGATTTCCAGGGCTGACTCTACCTGCCAAGCTGTGCTCCCCCACGTCGGCCCCAGGACTGTGAGAGGGCACAGTGGGAGGGGGCAGGCAGGAGTTAGGGCAGGTGGGCAGAAGCTTCCGAGGGCAGCCCAGAAGGAGAAGAGACTGGTGCAGAGGAGAGAAGC